TGGAGGCCATTGCGGCTAGTAGGTTGGAGGCCATCGCTAGTATAGTTGAGTTTCCCTAAAAATCTAGTGTCCATCCGGCGCCTCCAACGCCGCTCGTCGGTGCTTGGCATGAAGATGCTTGTGCTGGTGACGGGTGTCCTGCGGTCTCGTCGTCGCGGCGTGAAGGTGTGCACGGTTGCATGTGTGAACCATTCGATATCTTCAATGCTAGTCCAAGTCCTTCCACTTGTTTGAGGTCAAAGAAGTAGACACCACACGAAGCAAATGAGCAAATGAGTTCTTAGCAGGTGGATCAAACCACAAAACCCCCTCAGTGAAACTATTGGAAATGGATATTGATATTTCCTTCACGAAGGTCTAGGCCACAGGCTTGGACCAACCTCCGGTTTGCTTCCTTGCGCAAACCATCCATGGGACTGGAATAGTTAGAGACTTTTACCCCATGAACATGGCCCTAATGTACAGTAGGTATATAACTATTCCAGTCCCATGGATGGTCTGGGCTGTCTTCTTTTTAATGTCTCGGGTCCTTGACATCTTTCTTGTGCTTGGCCGGCTTGGCCTCTGTCTTGGGATGCTGTTCCTGAAGGAAGCATGGCTGGACTCCTTGCACCTCTGTTTTTTAGCACGATTGTAGTAGTAAGGGGCAGTGCAAGCAAAAACGCATTCGAATGAGTAGTAAATGGCAGCGAAGAAAGTCATTGCTTTGTACATCCTCAAATGAAACTGTGATAGTAAAGGGTGTAGTTCTACGGAGATTTGACTAACAAACACAAATAGTTCAATCATGTGTTTTTGAGACTTAACTAAGCCTTACAATCACATGAACGCATGTTATCCACAAAACTTTCTCTACTTCAAACGAATGATTTTGGACAGAACTATTCTATGCAAGCATGTTCCGGCTTCCATGTAAGTTTCAGGGAGAGTAACACTCCAACCAGGGATTCGTGCTTTCCTTCCGATTCGCCTTACATGGATGGCAGGCACGGTTTCTACTTCGCGCATCCCGCTTGAGGCGACGCATCCGCGTGAGGCGCGGCCCGAGGACCTCCACCTCACCCGAGGCGTGCACCTTCAAGGGGCCACGGGGTGAACTTCTGTGGGGCGAGTGACGGCTCATCCTGTTGACATGTTGAAAGGTTCATCAGGGTATACATGGTCCACTAGAAGGGTAGAATGGGTAGAATGAGCCCTCCAAGAGGAGTGGAAGGTGACACCAACAAAACCACTCACAGTGGTGGTCAATCAAACTGATTATGATTGATTAGTTGCTTGGAGACTGTCTTGTCAAGCACGCGGAACTTTCACACAAATCGCTAAATCGTGAGGCTTCTAGCCTCTTCGTAGCCAAGAGACTTGGATGGTGTATAGTTTTATTTGCAAAAAGCAATTACATGCAGTGAATGCCTCGGATTTGATTTTGTTCACCCAAAACAAAGCCGCGCCAAAAAGCTCTTGGACTTATGGCCTCAATCACTCACCCAAACCCAACATCCACATCTTGGAGAATCACTTGACCAAACGAATTGAAGTCAGGTGATAGATGGTGATAGATGGTGATAGGGGATCCTCCAAGGTGTAAAAGATCCCCATTTAGCTCCTCAAGACTCGTGGCTTCCTCCGGCGCCCTCGCCACACGGCGCCTCCACGGACGAGTCCGACCTCCGGCCGGTGCGGAGGTCCGGCGTCTTCGTCCAAAAAGGATGTCCAAAGGAATGGTCATTTCACGCGCAGAGCAGTCAAGCGCAGCGCCTTGTCCGGATTGTGATGTGGAGTAAGAATTATATAGAGATTAGATCATCTAAGAAAGTGTCATCCGTAATCTTCCAGAAAGGTGTTGGGTGGTGGACTTGAGCACCTTTCGATCTGTTGAGCACATGTCGGATTGCTTCCTTCACAGGGCCGATGGTGTGGGGGGTTTAGAACCAACATGCATCAAACATGGGCGCCAACAATCGGTGTCCTTCAGCCATTCCCACTGCATCATATCGAATTTGCACTCCGACTCGCTCACAGAACAAAGTGTGGACCATGGGCCCTCCAACCAGGGGGTGTTCCAGGGCGTCTGAGTGAAACAAAACAGACGCTATTAGATCTATTAGGCCATCGCTTTTAGGTTGGAAACAAACAAGACGCTATTAGGCTCCTGCGCCACCCTTGGGGCGCCCCAACGTTGAGTGCTCTGACTCGGGCCGATGCTTCTTCTCCTGAATTCGCTGAAGAGATCGAGCCGAAGACTGCGCCCCGCTGCAGAAAACGCTTCCAGCATTGGAGGTTCAGATTCGATCCGATTCCATGTTCCAATCGAATTTGTTGCCAGGAGCAAGGACGCTACTAGGGGCTCCTGGCATCGCTACTAGGAGCAAGGACGCTACTAGGAACGAAGGGCAATGGACATTTGAAACAACGGGAAACATCTCCTTCGATCGTTCCGGACGGTCCAGGGCGGGGGCCCATGACCAACAAAAACGGTCCAACATACAGTGGCCCCTCGGAAGGCTTGGGAACACCTAAAAAGAAGACACCTCTTTTTGAAGATCCTTTTAAGCTTCTCGCATGAGCTGAGACCTGGTGAAGATCAGATGAAGATGCAACCCTCTATGAGGTAAATGATGTGGTTCTCTCAACACTCCCCTGCGACGCAGAATCATGAATTTCATTACCAGCCAAAAAAAACAAAGTCAATGTTGAACAGTTGTGAGAGGTTCTGCCAAAGGCCGCTACTTTGTTGGCTTTAGGTTCATAGATTTCAATTGGTGGAGGGCGAACGGTGAAACATGGCCTGCAAACCACAAACACTGAACTATATAGTAGATCTAAGACCATGTTTTGGAAGCAATTCATCAATGTTTGATACGGAAACTTGCACCTAACCCCCCTAAATGAATGACACAGTCGGACATCATCAGCGGTCGGTCATCGCCACAGCGACCTCATCAAACCTTAAGCATCCTCAAGCCTTGTCATCCTTGTCGCTCCTTCCGGGTACTGACACCAGTCCCCAAATTCCGTCCAAAACCAGCCACTTCCAGGTGACCCATCGACCAAAGCACGCTAGCAGCTAGCTGCTAGCACCTCTCGCGGTGCCCAGTACTCAAGGTCCTTCGCCCTGACCGGTCTCGTGGAACCGACCGACCTCGGGATGGTCGTCCCTCCGCATGACATTGGCATCCACGTGGGCGCCTGGCTCACGTGCCCCGGACGCCATTGGGGGCCCCGGTGAATTCATGGACGGATTCGGCGAAGGAACGTTCGTCGAGAATGATGCCTGCCTTGACTGTATGTCATGCCCATGAGAGTCCAATTGACTCATTTTACCCCTATGGCAGTGGTGGATTATCACCACCAGATGGAGTAAAATGAGGCATTGGAAGTTCTGGGATGGTCATGATATGTCTGATATTTGATGATATGTGTCATGATATGTCATATGATGTTAGATGTCATGATCCACGCTGAGTCCTGACTGGACTTGCAGGGCCTGGAAGATGAAGTTTTCCACGGCGACGCACGGATCTCGCCGATTCTGCGTCGCATCGAATCCCTTGATTCCGATGGGTCTTAGGTGGGAGATGACATATGAGGTAGGAAGGGGTGATGACATATGCTCAGGACCTGAGCCGGGCGCTTCTGGTGCACGACACCCAACGTGTTGAGGTTGGAGATACCAACATCTGCGACCAAAGGTCGAACAGCTGCTAACTCGAGTTCTTAGGGTCATGACCCCCACCTTGACACGTGCTCAAGTTGATGGAAAGGGGCCCAGTCTGACTGGGAAACCTGACAGACTGGCAGTCTGAGCTGTTTCACAAGGAACCCCATCGACGACTGGCAAACCGACCAGACCGAAAACATGGTCTGGGACGCTGGTCTGGTCTGGGTAGAGTTGTGCTTGGAGGAAAGCCGGCAGAGATGGCTGTGGGTCAAACCCTGCAGCTCCCAAATACCTTGCCTGTGGTCAGGGCAGGTAGCCCGGTTTTGACCCACACATACCCACACTCATATGCAAAAATCCTCCGTCCATTGAACTTTGACCCTGATCTGTGAGCCGGTGAGCCGTCCATGATCCAGCAAAGCACCACGCAAACGCCCTGTGAACCAGATGCTTCACACTCAGCTAGGGGTCCTGGACATGTCCCAGTCTCAAGGACCCTTGTCATCGGAAAAAAAACACGTTGTTCGGGCCTTGGACCACTGCTAGCAGCAGGATCCAAACCAGCCACATGGTCCTGGTCTCCACGGACTTGTCTGGCGAATTGGTTGGAAGACAAGTCTGGTGGCAAATGGTGGCAACAGGGAGTGCCCTACTGGTCTTTTGCGATGGAACCCATTAAAGGAACCCATTGCTATCAGGTTGGAGGCCATTGCTATTAGAAACAACGACGCTACTAGGGGCTCCTGGCCTTACTACTAGGAGCAAGAAGCTACTAGGGGCTCCTGGTATCACTACTAGGAGCAAGGACGCTAGTAGGTTGCAGGCCATTGTTATTAGCCCTTGCAGGAAACCGCAAAAACGGAACCTGTTTTGGCCGGTCGACAGATCCGTTCACAGGGCCGATCTTTACAACCGTCCACACCATGGTCGACCTGGTCAGAAGAATGTCATGATCAAACACTTAAGGAATAGGACATTGATTGACTGCTTCTTCAAAGTGACCATGTTGGAGTCCCTAAGTGACCTTTATATAGATACAGTAGGTCTAAGTGACCTCAAACCCGGGGATGAAAGGTCCCTTTTGAAAGAAGAACCAAATGGGTGCAATTTCAAGCTGACTCGAGAATCTGGTGAAGCTATGCTATGCGAAGCTAAAAGATCCAAGACTAAAAGACCTGCGACCGTGATCGAAATCTGAGTCACCGTGCTATGAATTTCTGGACTTCTCAAACGCCTGCCGCCCACGGCCATCGCGATGGTCCACCAAGTTTCTGATGTCCAATGCACAACCAACGTTCACTGCAAACTGCTCAAATCTCAGTGAACATGTCTGGAATCCTTTTTTTCCACGAGCGCGGTCTTTCGGGGTCCAACGCAGAAGAATTACGATGTTCCGCCTCTTTCTGCCGACCGAATTGGTGAGGAAATTACCGCCCCAGGCGATGCCCTGAGCCCGAGAAGGGTCGAAAATCCTGCGGCGCGGGGCCGCCGCTGTGGCCGCCGCTGTGGCCGCCGCTGTGGCCGTGGCGGTGGGACTCCGGTCGGAGCGGCAGCGTGGTGGCCTCCTCAATGCGTAGCCAGCGGCCGCCCAGTAGAGAACGGCCGAAGAAGGGGATGGAAGAGCGTTCCCATCGTTGTAACCGGCCATCCGATGGGAGGAGGGACTCAATGGGCACCCTCTTGTTCAAGTAGCCCAAGAGCAAGGCGGCGATATTGGACAATTCGACGGCAAAACCGTTGAGGAGGCAAAAGACACCAACCAGGGTCAAGGGGTAGTACTTCCTCTTGAGAGGTATCCCAAAAAAAAGTGTCGTCTCTGAATCGCCTGCTGCCAGGTAATGGACCGTGAGCGCATAGACCGTGACGGGGATCATGCCTCTGCTGGGGACCATTGGCCAAATGGACATCCAGCCCTGACTGTTGTAGAGCTGGTCCAAAAGAAAGACCAAAAGCAGGAAAAACATGTTGATGACCAAGGCCGAGCAAATGCTCCAAAGCAGCAGTTTTCCCGAACTCATCAATCGTTCAATTGCTGGAAGCTTGGAAAGAAACCAATAAGCAATCAATAAAGTGACGAGAGTTTGCAGCAGCCAACCTGGCCCTTGACCGGGCGGTTCCCACCAAGGTGATGTCACCACGCTCCAATAGTAACCTGCAACACAAATCCGTAAGGAACAGCGATCTTTTCTTTTGGTTGTTGGTGGAACAAGAAAAGAACAATTGGGTATATTCTACGATCAGCAACAGCGGATGATGGTTAGGTTGCAGGCCTTTCTCAATATTCCTTTACCATCTTTTACTCTTCCTGCTGGTTTACTGAAACACACCCTCAAAAAAGAATTGTCTCGAACTTCGCCCCAAAAAGGCCTTTGTTCTTGAAGGCGTCCAGTGAGAGCTTCAAGTGGTCCAGCTCTCTGTACCAGCGCAGCCCAGCAAAATGCAAGACCAACGGGACAGTGACGACTAAACGCGTCACAGCAGGAGCCTCTTTCCAAAGGGCGGCCAAGTGATCCAGCATACCCCGCAGCACCGCAGTGAGGGCCCCAGGTGCGTTTTTCCTTTAAAAGTGCGTTTCTTATTTGTCTGAGCAACTGAGCCTGAAACTGCCAACGGTTTGATATGGAAAGAAACGGATGAATCATGACGAATCATGAAATATGGATCCTTCTCCGAAAAAAATAGTGTTTCTTCAGCTACCAAACACCAGAAAAGGGCAGCTTTGGTATGTGATCCCTGTCTCCTTTTTGGGGCCAACACAATCGGCACCATTGCTCCCGATTAGATCTCATTCCCCCATTCAATTGACACATGTCTTAAAAGTACGGAGATCTGCCCCGCTCGACTTGAAGCTTTTGAAAGCTTCGGCGACGTGTCACCGTCTCCCCATGCAAGGAAAAGGCCCTGACACACCCAAATCTTCCCAAGCCTGAAGTGTCTATTATAGGACTTTGGAAAAAAAGAAACAAAACTCCGATCGCTCCAAAGGGTCCCAGGTCAGGTTCAAGGCCCCAGCCTTGGCGCCCAGGCTTGGGCTCGTTGCGAGCCCAATGCTGCGGCGTTTCGGGGGAGGGACGTCCAAGTCCAAGCCGTGAGAATGCGTGTGGACCGTGGAAAGTTGGAAGACGGATGTCAAACGATGTTCGAAACGTCTGTGTAGCAAAGGGATTCTGAATGACTTGGTGAATGCAGATTCTCCCACTGGTGAGATTTGATGTGCATCTCGATGCATCTTGAAGTCCACTCGTTTTCAAAACGGACACAAGCGATCGGCTGCCTCAATCTGGACTGCCCTGGGTTTGGTGGAAGCGGGTTCACCAGAACTGTTCACTTCTCGAACTGCTTACAAGGCCACCCCAAAAAAGGGGAAAGCAGCAAGCGAAGGAACACAAGTAAATCCTCTGTTGATTACCACGTCTGCGGTGTCAAGTCACTCCTTGCTGGCCGTGGTTGGCCATGTTGTCCGCTCATCCAAGTCGATGCTCGCTTTTTGGTCGCTTCTTTTGTTGGCAAATCGAAGTGGTGGAACTTGAGTTCAAGTTGGAAGCTCACACTCGGGCACGATGCCCGCCCAAGGGTTCTCCTGGACGATGGGTGGAATCTGCGACAGTGCCATGGTGTGGTCCCATGCACGCGTCTGAGACAGTCTCAGTTCGTATGGTTTCGTTGATGGGAGTGAGCTGAAACTCCCTCTTCATCCTCGCAAAGAAGTGGTTCATCTGAGTTCTTCTACTTCTCCTCTTCTCAGCATTTGGCCCTCCAAGGGAGACGGGATCTGAGAATGCCTCTCCTCTGCCTCAAAGCTCTGCTCCAAGTCAGCATCAGCCTGCGGCAAACCTCAGAGGGCTGGGGGATCTTGGCGGCGAAGAGGAGCACAATACCAGAATTGAGGAGAGCGAAAAGGAGCTTCAACATGCTTCAACAAAGCTGCAAATGGTTCCAATTGCCACACAAACAAACCTGGTCATCTCGTCTTTAGGTCATTCTCTTGATCCCATCTGGGCACAGCCTCCTTGACACAGCCAGCTCCACAAGAAGAGTCCGTTCTCAATTAGATATGGATCAATGATCAACTTTGTTTGTTTCCTACTTGCCACATCAGAACGGAACATTCAGTTTGTGCGCAAAAGAATAAGAACACACCATTTAGATCACCTGAAACCCACAGAATCCTCTGGAATGAAAAACCAAAACACGCAGCTGAGGCCCGAAGCCCTTAGCAGTTCGTCCTTCAACAGCTTTTCTTGGTGATTCCGTGACCACCCGTGACCCATCTCATCCTCCATCCCGACCCGTCAAAGCTGAAGTATTTAATCCCACGAATGTTCGCATGATTTCTGTGCAATTTCGGGATCGCACTCACACACCGTCAGAAATTAAGTCGACAACATTGTTGTAGGACACGCGGTCGAACACGCGAACACACACCACACATGTCACACCGCTGCTACGGCAGGATCGGGTCCCGCGCTGCTGGCGCCCTGGAAGGCTCTGGGCCTTCGGGATGCGAAGACGATTCGACGTGAATGCGTAGGGGATCTGACTGGATCCCTGCGAGATATGATTAGCTTGTACTAATAAGATGCGGTATAATTGATATGCATGGTCATCTCTGAAGAATCATTTTCTAATATAATTTTGCTGTTTGCGAGATGTGATCCGAACAACAAGGGCGATCTTGGATATGAGAGCGATATGAGGAAGCCTACTGCTTTGTGTCTTGCGTCCTTGATGAACTCATGGCGGAGTTTTGGTTTAACAAGCAAAAACGGTCTCGAGACCCACAAATCATGAGATCCACAAGAGGCACATGAAGGATGTCTACTGTTCAAGCTGAAGTGGAAGGTTTCGATTCCAGTGTCTGCGTGCCATTGTCGTTCAGGGAGTGGAACGGGCACAGCAGTTGACTCCAGAGCGATCCCTTGGAAGAGACACGGAAGGATTGCCCTCTGAAGGAAGTGTAAGCACAATGCAGCCCAACAAGCAAACTTTACAAGCAGGCAGGGGGCAGGTGTACATCTTCTCCCCGTTCCCGGCACATGGATGCAGTATGTTATGTTATGTTTTGGACCATCAACACATCAGCCATGAGGGTCCTGAGGTCCCCCACACATCCGCCATGAGCCTGGGCTTCACCACATGTGTCGCCGGCCGCCAGGCGCCCGCGCCGCCGGCGCTGCCCATGGCGCCGCCCATGGGATTGGAAGCGGGAGCAGCCATTGGAGTGGGTCCCATGGTACCACAGCCCATCAGACCTATCGGTCCCATGGGAGGTCCCATTGGGGGTCCCATTGGGGGTCCCATGGGGGGTCCCATGGGCGGTCCCATGGGCGGTCCCGTGGGCCGACCCATGGGGCCAGTCGGGTTCCAGTGGTTGAAGGCGCCTTTGCCAGCGCCTTTGGTATCTCCCCAGCTCCAGGGGCCAGTCCAATCATCCTGCCAAGTCCTGAGGACGCGAGGAGACCAAACTTGAATGGCTTTGAAGCTGCTTGTTTATCCAAGGGAAAAAACAATGAATTGGTTATAAAGAAAGAACTCTGTTGTTGGACTGTTAGACTTTGGCTAATAATGGCTAATATATACTACAATCAATTTGTAGATAAAACAAAAATCTATTATGGTCCTCGATTTATCTTCTCATGGGTCTTTTTCAAATTCAATTCTTGTTTAGCCGTGGCTTCGGTCAGAAAAAATCTAAACCGCACCGGGCACCGTCCAGTTCATGCCCGTCGACGGCACCGAATTGCACCGTCATGCGGTATTTTTTTGTCCTATAGGGATCCAAGTACCTTCTCAGGTACGGTGATTGGGGACACTGTTATGATCTGATATGTAGGTTTGGAGGGTCCAGTCGTACCTTCTGAGAAGGTATAGGGTGGGGTCGCGCGTGGTCGCACGCGGTCGTGGCACAGCGGAAATCATCCGATCAAAACTTCCGTCGGCCTTCAAAGGACTCCGGAGGTTTTGCTGGCTCCAACTTTGGCAGGCAGCTGTTTTTGTTTAATGTTTTAAGTAGTAGGGGAGAACTTAAGTTTCCCGAAACATTTTGTAACCAAATGAATAGTGCGAGGGCTTCTTCCAGGACGCTCCCCCTGCCCTTGAAGAAGCGTGAGCCATGCGTCCATATGTATAGCAGCTACTTAAGCTAGTAGCTACCTTTTGCTTCTACTAGCTACCTAGTTACTACATGCTACTAAGCTACTACCTCTTAGCGGCCTAATTACCCCCCCGCAGGCTTAGACAAAAAGGACATATTGACATCAACAGCGAACGTGCTAAGTCGGCTGCTTCCATCCCCCCCGCTTTTCCCTCCAAGCCACGACCAGCTCGCGGGCGGCACCTTCGGCGTGGTGGGCGCCATCGGTGTGGGCGGAGCCACGGCGAGGGCCTCGTGTTGGCGCTGGGTCTTCTTGACCTCTGCGTCCCAGACCTCCTGCGAGCTGAACAACAGGGTTTTTTCTGAGGTGTAGGAAGCAGGGGAAGAAGGGTCTGAGAAGCCTAAGTGCGAAGTTGTGCAGGTAGGTGCGGTGCTGGTTTTCAAATTTTTTACAAGCATAGACCCCAAACAGATTTAAAACGATTCGTTTTGACCAATATTAGTCACCAATCCATTTCTTTGCACGCCCACCTTCACCCCAAGAGCAAACTGGCTCATCGATGAAATTTTGTCGGCATTGACATCGCTATTTGTTCGGCCCCACTCCTCTCCAGTAAGCTGGACCACAGAGACCAGCCACGGAGTTCAGGGGCGCGGCCAAGACAAGGACAAGAGGAGGACAAGACCTGGACACAGAGCCGGGCCACAGAGTCCAGCCGCAGACTTCAGGGGTGCGGCCTAAGGACAAGAGGAGGACAAGGCCTGGACACAGAGCCCAGCCACAGAGTCCAGCCACAGAGTTCAGGTGCGCGGCCAAGAGGAGGACAAGGCCCGGACACAGAGCCCAGCCACAGAGGACAAGAGGAGGACAAGGCCTGGACAGTGAGTGTGGCTCTTTTGTTTCTAAGATAGAACCCCAACAGTAAACTGTTTCGGGAACAAACAAACGATTATGACTTGTAACTTACCATCTTATCACCTAACCCAGCAAGCCAAAGTCTGGATGTATGTTCTTTATATTCATGGGCAACAAATGCCAGCACCTTCTTTCTGCACCTGATGCCCAAACAACAGCGTGCCTTGGAGATTAGTTCACACAGGTTCAACAACTTACAAAGAAGTAATCAAAAGCGTCCAGATTCTAGATTCTAAATACGGCAACACACAATCAAACAAACTCAGGCTTCGGCTAACACCATCCCCAATGAAAACTAGGCCATGAGGGGGAAACTGCTCACTTCAGAATAGTTACCAGGTAGGTTGAGAGAAACAGTCACACGAACACAAGACAAGAATTGCGTTGGCTTCGTCGCAAATCCCTCATCTGATCGTCTAAAGCCACAGGCACCTTCAAACGCTTGCGGACCAACTCCTTTGCAACATCCTCAGCATGCGGCGCTAAGGTTGGTGCCACCACGATTTGATGGACCAATTGCTTGGGGCCCACACCAGGGAGGAGCGTCCCCAAGAATTTGGAAGAATGCAAGGTCTTCCATGAACTAGAACTGACGTCGATTCTTAGTCTCGGACGAGTTGCAAGGGGCAGGATGTGAAACAACAATGGTCATATGAATTCAAACTTATGCTGCTTCAAAGCAGAAGGACGGACACTGGCCACCTAATATATATGTATATATATATATATCACCAGCCATACCGTACCTGTTTTCCTGTGCGCCTAAAAATGATCTTGAACCGGTCCACCCTTCTTCCCATACTCAAGCGTTTTATGGAAGACAAGACCGGTCTGGTAGCCTCTACCCTTCTCATGGTCTCTAAAAACACGTCGATTCTGGTCTCTTTTTGGAGGACGGATTTCTGCAACGAGGACATGATCAACGAAATGGGTGAAGCAACCCAAACCCCATCGCCTTATTGTTTCTACTAGCTTCTTGTTACTACTAGTAAGGCCCTTGTTACTAGAAGCGATGCACTTGTTCCTAGTAACTCATTGTTCCTAGTAGCCAAACCCCAAGAGGTCTGTGCCTTTCATCGCCTGAACGGCAGGTCGATCCGCCGCGATGCATCGCCACGCACTCCATTCCCTCGGAGCGTCCCGAAGGGGACAGCGTCCGAAGCACCTCGCCGGTTGAAACCCAGTGGCCCGTTGGTCTCCCACGATTTGGATCTTGTGAGGTCCGCCTTCGGGAGGGGCGTTCACGCCTGCAGACGGGGAGGAGTGAAAGGAGATGGAGATGAAGCAGTGAAAGGAGGGAGGAATAGTTATTTCAATGATATAGAGGGTGAGATGGATTCGCAAGGGTCTTTCACGAAGTGCTGTGGAATTTTGTTGCAAGGCTTTGCAGTTGCTTTCGTTGCAGGTGTGCCAAAGCTGCAAGATCGAGCAAAGCAAACATGAAACAAGAAAACGTACATTCAACAATATATGCACGGAAGAATCCCGTCGCAAATGTTGACGATATCAATTTATAGTTCGATGTATGGCAATTCAACATATTGCAGCACTCTGTCTGACAGCGAAGGAAGCCATTATTCTGTTGATCTTTCACATCATAGTCGTTTAAAGCAGGATTTGGAGCATACCTCTAGGCGTGTGCTGGCCAATGGGACCTTTTCAAACCCTATAGTCACCTCAGGGCAACTCCACAGAAAGTCCGGGTAATCCCAGTGCATCTACAGTATCCCTCTGCATCGCTTCTCTTCAAGGCTCTTTAGACCAAGTAGACTCCGTAGACCAAGTTCGCTTGCGACACTTCAACATCTTACCTCCTCTTTGCTTCCCGGTATGATGTTGAATACCCGGATACCCTGTTCAAAAAAACGAAAGAAAAAACACTCAGAAAGGTTCGAGGGCGTAACCTCTACACCCTAAAAACAACGTGCTCAGAAAAGTTACCAGAAACCCACTGCAAATTGCATCACAAACTGGTCGTTCTCTCGGCAAACTCCTTTGGGTCGACATTCGCTAAAAACATACCGCTGAGTCCGCGACCGATATAGAGGCTCCCGCCGCAGGCTTCTCGAATGGCCTGCTGCCCGGAGGACCACCGTGTGTGGGCCCGCGGTCATTGATCATGCTCGTCACACAAATCAAACATGTTTCATGTGTCAGTTCAATACAATATCTCACAAACAAATAAACAAACACCATGAGAAAACAACTGGAAAAGGAACACGTATATGATGAGCACCTGTCGTGTAGTGGACAGTGCACGGAACCAAATTTGGTCAAATCCGCACAAGTTGAACCGATGGTCCCATGAACTAGAACGCAGCATATAGTGTCTCCAACTCACCAACGTGAAAGTGGAAAACCCATGAAAACCCCCTGTTCTCAGAGCATGTTTGTCCAGTGAGTCAGAGTGTACAGGCCACGGACAAGGGATAGAACTTGCCCGGACACGGGGCAAGAGGACGTCCGAGAAGATCGTTCCAAAGCTAGTCATGTAAGGGCCATGTAAGGGTAGTCGACTAAGAGCCACCAAAATGAGAAGCAACTATATAACCATCAAGTCCATCAAGTCCATCAAGATCAGGCCGATGCCTCAGGCCGATGCCTTGGTATCGAAAAGAACAGCACAAAGAGTTTGGTCGAAATCGGTGAAGTGTTCCCCCTTTCTTCCGGGCGTCGCCGCAGTCGCCTTGATGTGCTCGCCACCACGGCCGATGAAGAGGCCTCTCCGGTGTTGAGGGAGACACGAAGATAGCTGAAGTGTTTGGGGGAGCGGGACGGGCCTGGATGTTTTTTGCGTAAGACATCGACTAACGCAAGAGCCGACCGCGGAGTCTGCATACTCAGTAGGTCTCTCCTGTCTCAGAACTCTTCCACAAGCAGCAAGAGTCATTTCTCAGCGTCCCAAGGAAGTGTCTCATGCGGATCCTCAAAACAATCACCATCCCTCTGGTGTATGGCCGCCCCGAATCGACCTGGGCGAATACACTTCGCTCCCCATTCATTCCGCATTCACCGACTGTGGGTCTAAGCGGTGGGCGTGGGTCTAAGCTCGGAGCCTGGTTGACCCTGCTAGGTTCACCTCCCTATGATACTATAGTAGTCAACCAGAGACCCCCGGTTTTGAGCCACGACCATGTCTCAATGACTGGCCTACCATGTCTCCAGGGATCAGCAAGTCGTCCTCCAAACTCACCTCATCCTCCGCCATCGGACAGCCTCAACTCGTCCGCGGATGTTCTCGCGGGTCACGCGTGTGTGGCGGGTTTGGCGCAAGCGTGTCTGGAGCAGCAAGAAGTTCACTTGGGCTTTGGACATGAAACGACCTGAGACCAAGAATATACACAAATAAGTGAGGCAGGCTCAAAAAACATATTGTTTCACAATTATACAATTGTATACACGAAAGAATCCTTAGTAGAATTCCATGTATCTACATTGATTCCATGCAGAATCTGTGCGGAGGCCATCGCTAGTAATTTGGAGGCCATCGCTATTGGATTCCTTTTGCTATTTGCTTGGAGACGTTTCCACTTTCAGATGCGGCCCCCCCATGGTTTTAGCCCGCGCCTTTGGCGGCCAAGGTGTCTCGGATGATTTGCTCTGTGAGGACGACGTCACCGGTGATGTTGATATCACCTGCGTCCCAAAATCCGTCCGAGAGTTTTTCAGCGCCTGGTCGGAGTGCTCCTTTTTTCATAGGAATCTGCACCTGAACCAATGGAAAGGGCCTGCCACCAATTATTGTTTCATCTTGTCATCACCCCTGGTTGTCTTGGTCCAGGCTCCCTAGAAACGCTCTCCTTCTCCACGGCTCCGAGGGTTGTCTCTTCACTCAAAAAGCGTTTCCAAAGCTGAAATCGAAGCACATCCCAAGGGTGCCAATGTGAGGTCTCAAAGGGTGCCTCGAAAAGCACCATTCAAAACATGTCAAAACCCGTCCGGATGCATCCAAATGCTGAACCGTCGATGGCTTTTGGATACCGGTCCAAGGGGGGTCAACTGAACGGGCCATAAGGCGCCCTTATGGGGACTCTCCAAGCTACGGATTTTATCCGTTGGATGGATGCTGCCATTAAACAACAAACTTGGAGCCTTTGAGCTTCAACGAAACCTGTGGCTGTCCATGCTGGCTCATCTCTGGCTATGTCACTGTAGCTCTGCAACTGAAACATCTGATTTATCCTCCATTGATTGTCTTCCCTTCACACCATGTTTTTGCGGGTTGGAGGGCATCGCTAGTAGGTTGGAAGCCATCGCCCATTAGGTTGGAGGCCATCGCTAGTAGGTCGGAGGCCATCGCTAGTAGGTTGGAGGCCATTGCTATTTCATTGCTAGTAGGTTGGAGGCCTAAGAAGCCGAAGCCTCACTCTTGAAAGGATGAAAAGCGCCTTCATCGGCCACCCGGTCATGGTCCACCTTGATCTCTGCATTGGTCCGTTCACCTTGGCACCAGGGACCATGAGCAAGTATTCAGAAGGTCGCGGTTCTTTCTGTTAGAAGGGAAGCAAGTAGTTGGGCTCAAGACCCAAAAGCTCCTTTGAAAGAAATGGACTCGTTGACAATAGTACAAATGTCAAGTAAAGGGCACTGGAGCCCGAAACGCATACAAGCTGTGCAAACATTCACAGCTTGATCTACAAATGATTGGACCGTGAGCGGGCCCAACGGGATCAATACCAGAAAAAACAAAACAAAACACGGGCTTTATCAATCAGTAGCTCAGCAACTGATCAGATTCCCAAGAATTCCATGCAACGTTCAATGCTCTGTGCCCCAATCCGGGGCGATGTGTCCAGATCGGCTCGACCGGGTTCACCGGAGGCGCCCTGGTGGCCGAGCTGCAGATGTTTCGAATAGTCTCCCCGCCCTTGCCCAGGAGAACGCGGATCTGCACGGCCTTTAGGCGCATGGTCTTGCGCCGCAAGCTGTCTCTGGAAACTAGAGGCCTCAGCAAAAGGAAAAAGGAAGGTGAAAGGAGTCCGGCTCCTTTGATTATCCATGAGTTCAGGAGTGGATCTCCTTTTCGCTGTTGGCCCTCACTGGGAACTGCATCTCCAAGAATGGGATGAGATGGTATGTCATGTCACAATGGCGTTGTGCATACCTAGAACCTCGTTCGGCAATCATTTTCGCCCAACGTCATACCGTCATACAGGCAAGAACGCCTAAGTTGCAGCCTCGAGGGTCAAAAACGCCGAGGCAATTGGAATTAAAATAATTGTTGAGAAAACAAACACTTGCAACCTGACGCTAAACCCCAGTCTAAAGCTTATAAAGTATTTGAAACGCATGTCACTCACTCCCCCCAAAAGGCTACCATTTGTTTATCGACCAACTACTGATTGTAGTGAGGGGGGAACCAGGAACGCCTAAGTAAAGGGCCAAGAACGCCCAAGTAACGGGTAAGAACGCCCAAGTGACGGGAAGAACACCTCCGCAAAAAATGTTTAAGGCAATGAAACAAAACATAGAACAATTAAAACCATACAAAATAGAAACATCAAGTGAAGTCCTGATAAACAAATGTACCCCACTAATTATGGAACTTCCTGACACCAGTGGTGGGTGGATCGTCATCTATTTGAGCTATTGGTGAGTGTCCATTCCATCTGCAGGATTCTTTGCTTTCCACCTGCGAGGTCACCAGCTTCCTGAGTGCCTGCAAATGTCTGACAATATTGCCGCCTTCCGAAAGGCTCAAGTCTAAGTGCGTTTTGGCCACAAACAAGTTTTTCATACTCGACCCCCTTTGGTCACAAAACGGCCCAAGACTTGCCAAGCTTCCCACATCCTCCCTATCGCCTTCCTCCCCCAGAAAAAGTGCTGAGTGGCCCCAAGGGCGCAGGTGGCGACGGCTGCGGCAGTGACTCCAAGTCTCGCACCTGCGGACTGCCAAACAGGCGAGCATCGGCAGTGGAAGAAGTCCGTTGGTATCGCTACTAGGAGCAAGGATGCTACTAGGGGCTCCTGGCCTTACTATTAGTAACAAGAAGCTAGTAGAAACAAGTGCATCGCTACTAGTAACAAGTGCATCGCTACTAGGAGCAAGGATGCTACTAGGGGCTCCTGGCTCATCGTTCTATTCACCTATATCGCTAGTAGGTTGGAGGCCATCTACTATAGGTTAAAGGCCATCGCTAGCCTAGCAGCCTTGGACATGCTACTGTAATTATTCACATTTGTGCAAAGGTGAAGCTTAAACTGACTCAGCCAACTGTTTGTTTGAATAGAAACAGGTTGATAAGGGATGACTTGAGGCATCTCCGGTGGCTTGCAGTTCTCCTAAAATATATTCCCAATGTACCTTCCATTTCATAAGGATCCAAAAATACGCCAGCCAATTCCCGGCCACGACAGCCCCAAAAGAATAGGCAGCGGCAGATCAGCAAATCAGTTTAACAGTTTCCTGCTTTCCAATTCCCACACCTACTAGTAACAAGTGCATCGCTACTAGTAACAAGTGCATCGCTACTAGGAGCAAGGATGCTACTAGGGGCTCCCACACCTCGGCTCGAAATAAAGGGATTGAACCCGGACATCGCTCTTTCCACGGGCTGTTTGGCTGTTTGTGCTACACTGTACCAGGGGCCCCACAAACCATCAAAAACCGGGCTTTCCCCTGCAAAGAAACGTGGTTTGTGTATGTGAGAACCCTTATTTTGCATGGGTTTGAGGGCCACAGTGTAGTGATCTTGCTTCCTCACCCACCGAGGTCAACCCTCCAAGTCTTCTCCAACCCCCCGGACCCGCCGAATTCACTCGCCCCGGCGCGCCAGTGGCGCTGCGTGCGCCGAGACACCCAGTCCGGTGGCGCTGCAAGCGTGGTCGACGCCAAAGTCCCATCGCCTGGCACCGCACAGATTCGACGGACTGAACAGTCCGGCCCCGCGGCGGTCCCAAGTTGAGCGGGATTCTTTGTGGCTGATGTCGACCAGTTGCGGTTTTCCAATCCATTTGGGACGAATGCAAACAAACAATGTTGCGGTTTAGAGTTTAGGGCATGTGTATAACTCGAAACCTACCATATCCTACCATTACCAGTGGTCAAACAATGAATCAAAATGAATCAAGGATAATCAAGGGATTAAAATTGAGTTGAGTAGAAAATCGTTCCAAACATGATGCATCAAAATGGATCTCTCCCCACATGGACCCTGCCTCGATCGTCCCACTTGCTCTTCCGTGGAGCATCCGGCACCGCTTGCGCCGCTTTCTCCGGCACCGCTGCAGTTGCCAGCGGCTCCGTCTTCTCCGTCTTCCGACGCCGCGGGAGCGCTTCCCTGTACAAAAGATTCCAGGAACAAATGAACAAAAACAGTTATGTTGGAGGCCATCGCTAGTGGGTTGGAGGCCATAGATATCGATAGTAGGTTGGAGGCCCTTGCTATTAGGTCAGGTTGGAGGCCATTGCTAGTAAGTTGGAGGCTGTCGGGGGGTGAAAAATGGAGATCCACAGTTAGTGTAGGGTGGGTGGTCCATTGGAGACCACGGAAGTTGTTCGCAAGCAAGCGTTGCTTTAGCTACGAGTATCTTGGTTGAACACATCTTCTCTTTTGCAGCTGGAAGTTCTAAAACTCTTTGAAGGTACATAGTAGAAGTATAATATTCTTCAAGGTCATGTCCAATGCTGCTAGCATGGCGAGAGGATTTGCAAATCCATCGAATTGCATAAATCAACCCCCTGCTGGTGATTCAACTGTGCACACATGTGCACACCAGCAAGAATTAATAGAATGGCCTCAAGTGGCAAAGAAAGAATGGTCTAGAGAAGAAAGGTCTCCACAAACAAAACGTTTAAAGGTCTTGTAAAAAGACAAAGGTTTAATGGTCTAGAGAAGAAGAGTGGTCTTTAGGAAAGTTTTAAGGCTAAAGGTTTTTAGCAAATCGTATTCTGCCAATTTCAACAGCTTTCCGTGTGACATCCATCAACGTTCGGCCTTATGGGCCGCGACTGCGGCTGCGACTGCGACCGCGACTGCGTCGGTTTCGAGCGGGGCAGCTCTGCCTGGGCGGACAGTTCTCCGGGGAGAAACTGAACCCAATAACGATGGCCTCCAACCCACTAGCAATGGCCTCCAACCCACTAGCAACGGCCTCCAACCTACTAGCAATGGCCTCCAACCTGACCTAGTAGCAATTGCTTCCAACCTGATAGCAATGGCCTCCAACCTACTAGTGGAACAATTGGAAAAGGTTGGAACTATTGTACCTATGATTTAGATTAAGTGGAACGATTGTTAGTGAAGATCTTTCTCAAAATAGATTTAAAAAATGATAGTCTTGGATTTGATGGTTAGTAAAGACCTTTCTCAGAATAGCTATAGTCTTGGATGATGTTGGTTAGCAAATACCTGTTTCAAACATGTATAATTAGTGAATATTAATGATGTTTAGTGATAGTCCTTCACCAACGGTTACAACAAACACCCCTTAATTACTAATGATTCATTGACATAGAAAATCGCAATAAGTAACCACTTTCGACCTTCATGAAGTACAATGGATAAACACACACAAAAGTGAGCGACTGTCGCGCCGTTTTGGCTGCTTTCAGCGTTTCGTCCTCCGTGTTGGAGGAAGAGTCACTGTTGGTCGTGTCCTCCATTCTCTCCAAAACCCAACAAGTGCCGCGCTAGAGGACAACTTAAATTTGCACCACCTAGAAGCATACCAAGAAACATGCAGTTAGATGGAACCCCCTTGTCTTGGTCTACACCGGAGCTTGGACAAAGAGAAGCCACTGTCAAAACAATGAAGACCATCAACGTCAAAAGACCAGCGTCTGAAGGAAAATCCGGCAACATGATTCAGACCAGATCTGAAAATTATATCAAAAACAA